CTGATGAGGTGCTGAATGAAGAATTAGTATTTGTATCAAGTTGTTAATCTTCATTCTCCATCTGGGGATTTCTGTCTGGTCTCATCACACCCACGCACACACCAGAACTGATTTATTAGGGACTCTCTGGGCCTGGGGGCGAGTTGTGCTTATAAGACTTTTTGTGGCTTACCTAGGAAGGCATGGGAGTTCACAGGAAGTGGAGGCATCCTTAGAGATGACGGCTGTGCTTTCAAAGTCATGGGACGAAAAGAGGGAGGCGGCCCGTGACTTCTGTCCCTGGCCGGCAACAGGAACTTTTGTAGACATCAGTGTTCCTGGCAACAAATACCTGGAGTGGAATTGTTGGTTAATATGAGTTCTTGGTAGGCAGGGTGGCACACTACTAGATCTCTCTGGGGTAGAAAAGAACATCTTACTTGGGAATTGAATGCCCCCAGGAGCCAGGTGTTCACTTGTTAGACATCACCTGTGGACGGTGGAGATGAAGGCCCTGGAGAGGTGGGAGCCGGGAAGTTGGTAGCAGCAGAAGCGACCCAGCGGGATGGGAGCTGTGTGGGGAACCTAGTCACATGGCTGGGGATTGTCAAGCCAACGGCCCAGGATCAGTGAACGTGAAATGGATCTCTGCTACTTTCCCCCGTGGGCAAGGACCTAAGAAACTTCTCCCATGGATGGGGCAGGAGAGTGTGATGGCTAAAAGCACCAGCCCTTCTGCCAGGCACTGTGTTTTGCTGTATATAATGCACACCCACATTTTTATACATGGGATTATTATACCCATGGTGTGTGATCACTGTACACAGCAAAATACAGTCTGGATTCCAATCATTTCAATGCTTGCTAGAATACTTACTGGCTGCGTGACTGCAGGCAAGTTATTTAACCTTTCTGAACCTCTGTTTTCTTAGTAGTAATCTAGGTGTAATCCTGGCACTGACTTCAAAAGGTTGCTATGGTTACCAAATGAGATGACATATGCAAAGTGCTTGGTACATAGTGGGCAGTCAACAAATGATGGCTATTTGTATCTCAGTATTTTTTATGTTATCACTGCTAAAGTAAATCAGAGGAATCTATTGGGGAAAAAACATGGGCTTTGGACCTGGACCAACCAGGGTGCAAATTCTGGTCTCACATGGGCTAGTTGCTTCCCTTCACCTCAGTTTCCTCATCTGTTAAAAGGGGATAGGATTGTGGCAAAGGTCAATGACACATGCACGAAGAGGGTATACTACAATGGCTGGCAAAGAGTGAAAACCAGCAAATAACGCCATCATTCTACCCATTATCATGATCATCATCACCGCTAAAGCATTAGAAGCAGCGGAGGGCTGATAGAGGGCCAGCAGCCTCAGCATTCACAGAATTTCCACTGTGTGTCAAGTTCTTTCTTCCTGGAAGACGGGGGCAGCATCAGTCTCCCTGCTCCCCCACCCCCAGCCTCGGTGGTTCCCCATTTTCTTTGGTCCCTGAGGCCGGCCTGCAGAGGGGTCTGCGTGAGCAGAGGCGCACTGTTGACAAGCCGCCCCCGCACTGCAGCCACCAGCCTCCTCACTGCCCTCGCCTGCCTCCTCCCGCCCACCCTCTGTGATCACCCAGGATGGGCTGGGTCTTTCCCACCCACTGAAGGCTTTGAATGCCTTCCCCCAGACATCTTTGTTTTGTTTTGTGCGTTCTTCCTCGCCGAACCTCATTTTTGTGTTGGCAGCCCATTTTACGATGCCTTAGAAAAAATAGATATGTCGGCTGTTTTTCATTTCCGGGCTTGTCTGCCACTTCATTAAAGGCTTGTGTGTCCCATGTCTAAGTTCATTTATGGGGTGAAGAGATGCATTAAGTAACGACGGCCCAGTTCCAAATCCCAGATCATTTCCTAGGTGGCTGCTACTTAATGTGCCCACATTTTGGCGTGAAGCCTTCGAACTGGGGAGGTGGAGGTTTGGCGCCGTCGGGCAGGGACTGGGACTAGGGGGGGAAGCTGGTTCTTCTCCAGCTCCATCACCGCTGCCCTGCTGCCGCCAGTGCCCAGCGCCTTGCAGAGTCAGGCATTTGTCGGGCACTGGGAATACCGTGGGGTGAGGTCTGGGGAGAACAGATGCTTAGAGAGACAAACAAGGCAAGATAGCTGTCTGAGTGAGGGCTGGCTTTCTCTTCTTTTTCTTTTAGGTCTCAGCAGCCTTAAGCCCCCCAGATGTCCAGTTGGTGTGTCATTAGGTGAAGTGACCAGCAGACAGGCTCCATTACTTGCAGGGCCCTGTGCAAAATGAAAATGTGACTGCTTTCCATGGGCCTGTGAATGGGCGACCCCCTCCCCCAGAGACTCTCACCTGAGCAGTCTGGGCCCATAGATCAGGGGTGCAGAGCCCCCCAACTGAGTCACCAGCACATGCAGCAGGTAGCTCCCTGTCTAGGTTGGGGAGGGCTGCACTGACCCCAACTCCCCACACCAGAGTCTGGGCTCCCACCACACGACCCTGTCACCGCCTCAGGGGTAGGATGACATTGATGGGGAGACCCTGATGGGCCAGGCTCTAGGAGGTGGGGAGCAGGTGCCTAAAAGTCCCGACTGGGGAGGTTGTAGGGGGCAGGTCCATGAGTGAGCTGAGGCCCCAAGTCCCCCGTGTGTGCTCCATCACCCCATCAGACTTCATTTACAAAACACAAAGTTGAAGGTAAAGATGTTAAGAAGTGTAGATGGAACTGCAGAACATTAAATCCCAAGTGCAGGGCCCATTGGGGCATAGGAGCCAGTGACTGCAGATTCTCAACAGAGATCGTTGGCTCAGTGTGAGACCAGGTGGGGAAGGGGGCAGGCCCCAGGCCAGTCCGCCAAGAGGGAGCGTGCAGGGTGGGGCAGGGTTCCACGGGGGTAGGCGGCGGGGCTGCGGGCTAAGCTGACCCACAAGGTCCTTCCCTAACAGCTTGTGCTCCATCCACAAGAGATGAGGACCCTACTTACTCAACTGTGAAATAAGCAAACTACCAAATCCCAGGAGTCTAAGGGTTTTCAAGATGCTTCTGAAAGGTGCCTCAGCTCCTTGGGAAATGGGTCCCCTCAGATATCATCAGAGTCACGCGTGGCCGCTGGTTTTGACCACGGCACTGGGGAGAGGGGAGAGGTGATCTTTAAGGCTCCTTGGTTTTTGTAACCCCAAGTTTTTGTTACTCTTATTTCAGTCCAAGCTACAGAATTTCCACGCTGTGTATCATGAGAATTTTTAACAGAATGTTTTCTTTACCATATACACAAATAGCTTCTTTTCCTTGGGGGGAAAAAACAACACTTTTTTCCCCAAATGTCTTCCTGAAGGGAGAAGAAATAGAAAGAAAGGACGAGAGCCTCGGCTATTTTAAACATGGATTCCTTAAGGTGTACAGAGTGATTTTCATCAAATGAAGTGAATGTCAACAGATTTCAGGATGCTCTATCATTAAGTCCTGATTTGCATAGTCTCAGTTTGGCGCTGCGGTGTTTTCTTGCTTTCTGGCCCAGAAACCGCTGGCATTCATTCTCTTGGCTGGACGGTAGAGCACATGGTTCAAGTTTTACCTTATTCTCCGTTCCGTAATCCTTTTGGGAAATCACTTTGATTTAGGGTTTTATCTGCCATCTTGACACTAACTGGTGACCAATTTTTAAAATTAGGCCATATCTTGTGCATTTTAGTAGGGCCTATGACATTTTGTTTATGTATATTAGTCACAAAGGTTACCGTGCCTTTGGTAAAACATTTTGATGTTTTTTATGTAGTTCTGTTTATTACACACCCTCTTTACTTTCCACTCCTTCTGTGAAGATAGTTGGGGTATGAGAGCAACTATTACCACTCTTCACCAATGATTACTAAGAACATAAAATACTCGGCGTATGTCTGTTTGTAGTGATTAATTCTTATAAGAACTTTATGATATTACTGGTATGATGCCATTCTACAGATGAGGAACTCAAGACTCAGGGAAATTATATTGAAGATCACGCAGCTGGAATGTGGCTGAGTTGGGACTCAAATCCCTGCCTGGTGCAGACTGCTTTCCATGCTGCCATTTCATGCCCTCACTGTAACAGGGCTTTAGGGTTTTATAAAACAGGATACTAAGAAATGCATTAAACTTTGTTGTAGGACACACATCACCATGGCCTCTCCACCCCAGAAGGGGAGGCACCAGCCCGCTATTGCTCTCCAAACTTCTGTGATTGTGGAGAGGATGTTCTGTGTCTTATGGGACCAGCTGGAGCCTTTTGAAGGAAGGAAGGAGTCTGGGTGGGGAGCCTTGCCAAAAGGCAGCAAAACAGAGTGGAAAGAGCCCTGATTCTGGAGCCAGGAGGACCAACTCTGTCTCCTGTGGGCAAGGGTTTTCTGCAAACACCAGTAAAGTAAGGGTAAAGGCAACAGCCCGATAGGGTTATCGGGAGGGTTGGACATAAATGAGATGAAGGATATGAACCTTCCAATATACATAGAATGTGTAACTGTTGTCAGTTGCAATTGCAATGGGATTAAATCTTACTCTCTTTCTACAACTTTCCCATGCACGCACCCAGTGGCGGAAACATACTCTGCTGCTTAAGATTTTGCATGCAGTCTCTTTCAGGCCAGCGTGAGACACCCTAAATTTATCTCTCAAAAATCTATTTCTGCATAATTGTCTCAATGTTCTTCTTTCTGAGTTTAGATTAAGGAATTGGAGGATATTGAGTGTCCATGTCCATATCCATCCGTAGAATTCAGCCAAGCTTGAGGCATGCCTCTTCCATGGCTGGGAGGGTGGGGGTGGAGGTGGGATTTGGCTCTTGTCTCACTCCTTTGCTGTGGGATGTCTCACTGTCTTCTCCTGAAGCCTTGGCCTTCCAAGGAGGGACAAAAGTCTTCTGAAACCGGAAGGTGTGATGAGCTCACAAGTGCCCAGAACGCTGTGCCCTTGCCCATGGGAAGTGGCAGAGGGTTGTCATGCTGCACAGTAGCTCAACTCTTACGTTCTTTGTTCTCTTTTGGCAGAACCAGCTTCTTGCAAAAGGACTGTTGTTTGTGGAGGAGAAGATTAAGCTGTGCGAAGGCAAGTACAAGGCTGCCCTCCTAGAGCGGGGTCCCCGTGACTCAGCCTTTGATGTTTGGACAGCTGAAGTGCTTCTGTTCAGAAGCGGCAGGCCGGGAGTGCGTGATTCACCCCCGCCGGTGCTTCTCCAGCTGGGCGGCCGCATTTCCATTTGAGTCAGCCACTCTGGGCACTGCAAGCTGGAACTGTGTTTTGCAAAACGAAGTGGACTGGGGGTAGTCTCTTTGGAGACCTCATTTGTAGGGACGTGTGCTGGTGGTCTCCTTGGATGGGGGGAAGTATACTATAGATCCCGTCATGCTGCTCTGTCTCATCTGATATAAGCTGTTTCCTGTCGGCCTCTGTCCTATTCCTTGTGGTCATACGTGACCAGAGGCCTGTCTGTTTGGGAGACATTAGCAGACACCCACTTTTGGGGGTATGATTTGATAGGCAAAGGAGATTTTTCTGGCTTTAAAAGGTCTTTAGAGCCCAGCTGACAGGACAGAATGGAACTGGAAGGTGGTTCCAAAGGCAAGAATCCGCCAACCCCGTGACACCGCCAGGGACCGCTGTCAGCTCCCGCCTGCGTGGGGCCTGATCCGCGCTGCCACCTACTTCTTGGGTGACTTCTGGCAAGTTTCTCATTTCTCTAAGCTTTGGTTTTTATTTTCTTTAAAATGACGAAATGCGGGTAGAGATGGGAGGCAGGATAAAGTGCGTGACCGATGGGGCACCATACCCAGCACATAGTGGGTACACAAACTGCTTCCTTCTTTTTTTCCCCACTCCAGCCTCAAGACCTGTACATGTAGGACAAACTTACTTCTAGACCCAGACATATCAGGCATTAGATCAGCCCCTTTCTTCCCTCATTCTCTGGGCAAGAGACTGGCGTCCCGTGAAGTGTTTGCTAGAAAGATGAAGTGGGAGAAAAATGAGGAGCCAACACGACACATAGTGTCTGACAGTGGCAAGTGCTCAGCAAACCTTTGGAAGAACAGAGATTAGACATTTATCTCTATCTGAAAGTTGACTGAACCTGTATGAATCTGTCTATGCTGAGACTCTTTACCCCTATGAATGCCCACTAACCCCAGGCCTTGTTAGTAAGTGACTTGCTTTGACAAGCCCTTAGCGGGCCTTCTGCACTTTGGGGGCAGTCTAGTTCACATGTGTAGAAGGTGGCTGCCCAGGGAAGAGGGAGAAGCATGGTCATGGCCACATTCTTTGTCTGTAAGTCATTTGGGGAGTTGTTACATGCTTGTGTAAATATGGAAAAATACCAGCTTTATGAAAAAGATACTGAGCAAAACCAAAGATCTGAGAGCCCTTCAAAAGGAAAGTTGGCTGTCTCTCGCCCCAGTGACACTCAGCAGATACATTCAGAGTGAAACCTCAAAAATGGAGCTAGACGGGTAGACAGAGGTCACCCAGGGTTCTGTGCCTCTGCCCCAGAGTGGCCAGAGGACACTGGACCAGGGTGTTCTCTCTGGGGCGCTCAGTCACGGGGTCTGGGTTTCAGGGTCCTTTCTGCACAGTGAAGGGGCATGAGGGGAACCTTGAAGGGTTTATCATAACTTCAGACAGAACGTTTCTACTTTATTCTATGTGTTACGATTCCAGGAAAGGTTTTGTTTGGATAACAATACTCTCTCACTATAAAATATAGTTTGGAAATGACTGATAGGATCCATCCTATTGCTGAATGAACTTAACTGGTGCCTTATATACACACACCCGGGCTTGCGGCTGCGGGAAGAGCAGAGGCAGCTCCCACCCATGTGTTCCTCGTTTGTGGGGTAAGGCACATGACTCTCAGTCATCTGCTTTGGTGAACTTGACTTTAAAGAAGTTTCCCATTCCTATTCTCCGTACCTCTGGTGATCTAAACTCCCATAGTACATTAGAGAAGAGTTTTCTAAGACAAGTCATCTAGAGCCTTTTGCCTAAACCCCCTTCCTCTTTGCAGGGAGCCAAGCCCTTGACTTGCGGGCTGTTTCTGCAGGTGACCTCACCTCCTTCCTTTAAATCTTTCTATCCCATAGCTACTCTGTTTTGTTAGTCCGTGTCTGTCTGATGATCTTTTCTGAACACATTCCAAAACCTCCATTACTCTCTGAAGTTTGCAGCCAACAATTACACCCAGGTTCCAGGACAGGTGCCCGCCTGCTGCTGGGTGGAAGGATTACCTCGTGTGCCAGTGAGCTTTCCATCTGGGGTGAAGGGGAGTAAACAGGCACCAGCACCGGCCTGCAGGATTCTTCTTTCCCTCCTTCAGGTCGGGAGGGCCTCTGCTTTTTGTCTTCATTAGGAAAAGCTTAGGGTAAGGGCTGTCAGCAAAGGACCTGGAATAGCCTTTTCTCCTTTGAGGTCCATTAATCCAGGTGATGGGGTTCACCTGGATTTTAGGATGGCCTAACATTTCAGATGGTCCTTTTGACTTCCCTAACTCCTCCCTACAGAGAACTAGCATAGCCTACACTTGAAAAGAGGATGCTTGACAGATTGATTCAAACATTTGTTGATCATCTACTCTGTACCAGGTACTTTCCTAGGTGCTGGGGACACAGTGGTGAGCAAAACCATCACAGGATGACAGGCCCTTGTGGAGCTCACAACCTGGTAGTAGAGGGAGATACAAATCAGATCATCACCAAATACAACACTGCAGCCAGGTCAAGTACTAAGAATACCATTCCATCCATGCTAGGGGGATTTGGCCACTTTCCTATGGCAGTGATGTTGGAGCTGAAACTGCAAAGATAAATAGATGTACGTTAGGCAAAGAGGGGGAAAGAACAGTCTGGGCCAAGTGACTAGCACATGCAAAGGTCCTGTGGCATGAAGGACCATGGTAAGTGTGAGGGGCTGAAGTAAATCGACATAATGGGGGCCCAAAGGCTGAGGGGACATAGAGGAGGAGGAAGACGCAGGAGGAAACAGGCTCTGCCAGGCCACCTCGCTCACATGATGGAGGTTTTCTTTAAGCAGAGGAGAATGTTGGAGCTGACCATGAAGTCTGGCTCCTTCCTGTCCCATACTCGGGTTAAAGGCTAACCTCCTTCCACTCACCAGCCCCGGCATTTACCAAAAACCCCTATACACACATTACTTGTCTTTCTTTCTTTCTTTCTTTCTTTCTTTCTTTCTTTCTTTCTTTCTTTCTTTCTTTCTTTCTTTCTTTCTTTCTTTCTTTCTTTCTTTCTTTCTTTCTTTCCTCCTTCCTTCCTTCCTTCCTTCCTTCCTTCCTTCCTTCCTTCCTTCCTTCCTTCCTTCCTTCCTTCCTTTCTTCCTTCCTTCCTTCCTTCCTTCCTTCCTTCCTTTCTTTCTCTCTCTCTCTCTCTCTCTCTCTCTCTCTCTCTCTCTCTTTCTTTCTTTCTTTCTTTCTTTCTTTCTTTCTTTCTCTCTCTCTCTCTCTTTCTCTCCTTCCTGCCTTCCTTCCTTCCTCTCAAAGATTTCTCAAAGTTGATTTAGCGATGTGTCTGGCACCAGGCTAAGCACTAGATAATGGTGAGCAGCACCAGAAGGGCCCCTACATTCACTCCCGTTCTCATAAAGACAGGGAAGTAAAATGAGCGACTCCAACAGAGTGGAATTAGCACTTTGTGAGGTAAAGTAGAGGGTGTGATGGGTTTGCATTTCCCCCGAAGGCATTTCACTCTGACCTTTCCAAATCTGCACGTCTCTGGCCCTGCTAGCTACCAGTCATGCCCTTGCTCTTCTCTCCCAGCCACTGCTTTTATTGTCCATTAAACTAATAGACAGAAGATGTTCAAATGAATCTTCCTAAATTGCTTCAGTGGAACTGGCAGTGTTTTGCCAATCGTGACTCTCGGTGTCTAATCTTGGCTGACCCAGTTTCTCTGTCTCAGATGAGCAACGACAGTGCCCAATCGGCTCTATTATCTAGGTCATCGAGCAGCAGCCACAGGGCAGCCCCCTCTCTGCCAGCACCCACCGCTCCTGCAGGCGCAGAGGTCCCTGCACAGCCTTCCGGTGGCATTGGGCGACCTGTGCACATCTGGCCTGGGGGTGGCGGTTGGCCGCGGCTTAGGCTTCCTGATCCTTGGGGTGGGAGTAGGCACCGCGTCAGGGTGTGGGTCCGTGCCTTGCAGGTGACCACTTCAGAAATGCCACCCTCCCGGTTACCGCAAAGCAGTGGGTGGAGGTGACAGTTTCCAGGCCCTCTTTCCTCCTCCCTCAGTTAACAGCTCAAGTCCAGAATAAGAAGTCTGTGTCTCAGTGATTAAAACAACACCAAGCAATATAAAACTGTGCGCATGGTCTGCCCAGGTCATGTTGGTCGAGAGCACGGTGTCTGGAATCCCAGTTCTGCCTTCTTGCCGTGTGATTTTGAGCCACACACTTGGCCTCTCTGAGCCTGTACATGGGGTAATAGAGTCTACTCATGAGATGTCATAGATAAGTAGTTTAGCACAATGACTGATGATGTCGTAGCCATTTTTGTGATAATAGCAGTTATTATATGATTTTCAAAATTCAGCTCCCTTTTCTGGTTTGGGGAGAGAGGGCACATTTGCATAGTTTCAGTCGAGTCTTTCCACCCAGCCCTGCATTGAATGTAGTCACACGTAACAGACCGAACGTAGGTAATGCGCTTTCTTCCCTGCGCCCCCTCTCCCCTGCTCCATTGGACACGGAGCTGTCTTCTGGCCTCTCCTACAAGTAATGACAAGTTCTCTTCTCTCTCTCTCCCCTCCCATCTTCTCACCCTTGTGTAGGTGAAAAGCGCATTGAGGTTCTGGCTGAAGTCTGGGACCACTTCTTCGCCGAGACTCTCCCCACCCTGCAGGCAATATTTTATCCAGTCCAGGTCAGTCTCGCTGAATGGCCTCAGCTTGGCCTTTGCCACCTGGAGCCCCCCGGTGCATGGGGGGGGGGCCAGGAGGTCGGGGCCTGAGTCGGCTAAGGACTCGGTGGGTCTGCAGGGCGTTCTGGTTCTATATTTAGCATCTAACCTCAAGGAAAGAGGAGGCCCCGCAGAAGCAGCTGTCTGTCTACCCTCCATACCCTCTTAGAGGTTTGGAGCCTGTCTGTATATTCTTGGAGTGGTTTGCTTCTCCTAGTTTTCAGAAGTAGAAAAGGTGGGAAAAGCAGGCTTCTTTTCTTTCCCTTTCACTCCCCTTTCTCTGAAGCACGATTTTAAGCAAGTTTCCTGTTGCTCCCAGACTGTGGGAAAGGAATGATGTTCCTTGCCCTCCACGAGGGGTTCCTGAAGATGGTATAGCACAAAGGACACTGGACTCGGGATCTGGCTGGGTTTGGGTGAACGCTTTTCCCTTCTCTGAGCAAAGCTCCATTTCATGTCCTGCAAAGTGAGGAATTTAGACCAAAAGATGAAAGGCTTCTCTCTCGTGTTCTTATTCTGTGACCTCAGCTCATTCTGTCATCTGATCTCCTGCTGCCCTCCTGCAGGACCGGTCAGTGCCAGGTCAGAATGGACATCCCCTATGGTAGGTTCAACAAGAGACCACCCTCTCCAGAACATAAGTCTCTGCCATACACCTGCGTGGCCATGGGCTCCCTGCCCCACTCCTGCCCCGGGTCAGGGCTTCATCTCTAAGTGGGTTGTGTGGGAGCAGGAACTACCTTGTGCCAGAGGGGATGACCCACATGCTTTGTTCGCTACAAATACTGCTTTAAAGGAACTTGGGGTTCTTCGAACTCTTTCTCAAATATTTAAACACTGGGGGGCTGTGCCTATAGAGTCCATTTCCCATTCCAGACCTGCCCCTCACAATTGCAGTGGAAGCCTCCAGCCTGCAGCCACTGCCCTCTTCCCCTCACCCTCAGCTCGTCCTGCACCCCCATGAGAGGATGGATAGCATGTATGTGGCCAGGCCGGCCCCCTGGGCCTGCCAGCTTCGCCCTTCCCTGCAGTAGTCACTCCTCAGCCAGCAGCGGGTCTCAAGAAGACAGTGCTGGGAGGGAGGTCGACAGATTTAGCAAATGAAAACACAGGATGCTGAGTTAAATTTGGATTTCAGACAAACACGAATAATGCAATGTTTGAGACATATGCTAAAACACTATCCAAATGTAACCGGCCAGCTTGTGTTTTATTTGGCAACCCCCCTGAAGGGAGTTGTAGTCCTGGGTCTCTGGTAGGACCAGTTGGATGTGGAATTCCTGGGTGCCGGCACCCAGGTGGGTTTAGGACGGGGAGTCTGGGTGGGCGTGGTCCCGGGACAGTCATCAAGGGGCCAAGGGCCATCTTAGGCTCCGACCCAGGCAGGACCCCAGTTGTGCAGGTCAGAGGCTGCTACTGCCCTGCCTCTCTGGGAAAATGGTGAGATCTGGCAACAACTGGTGTAGCTCCTGTCCATCTCCCCCGAATTTTCCTGGTGGTGCTGCACCTGGTCCAGACACCCCACTTTCAGAACCCCTGCCTTAGGGGCTCTCACTACTCTTAGTAGCACCCCCAGGGGTGTCTCTGAGTCCAGCCAGATTCTTCTCACAGGTCCCTCGTCGGACAAGTGTGGTTCTGAGTGCCTGCCCTGCGCGAGGCTGCAGAACTTTGCCTGCGTCTTTCTGCCTTGTAAAATGGAAGGGCTCCTGGAGGTAGAGTGAGGGCACAGATTCCTACGGGATGAGTAGTCAGTGCCAAGTGCTGGGATGCGGTGCAAAAAATGGAAACTGTAGGACCTTGGAAAAGATGGGGGGGGTGGACTGCTGTCAGGGAAGATGATCTGGAAGCAGGGGTTGAGCTGAGCCTGTAGGGAGTGGGTGGTGCTGTGTGCACCTCTAGGGGGTGCAGAGATGGCCAAGCACTCTCGCCTGTGTTTCTGCAAGCCTTCTAAGGTGTTACAGGAGATGCAGAACTTAAACCTTGGGAGCCTTGAAGGATGGGAACCTATGTCCTATTGGGTAGGGTAGGCTCAACCAAGAGCAATCGATTTTTTTTGTATGTTCTGTGTATACATGTGCAAAGGAGAGCCTTGGAAGTGGGTCCTTTCCCCCTTTTCTGTCTGGGTAGAGTTCAGGAGCTCTAAAATCAAGAAGTTCAGGTTTGTGATCTAGCGCTACACAAGGCAGATGACTGTCACGCTGGGCTTTGGGGTGTTTCACCTGTGAAGTGGGTTTCGTGATAGCACCTCTCCCAAAGGGTGGTCGTGGGCGTCGAATGCATGATTTACCTTAAGACTGTGTAGAGTTGTGCCTAGCCCCTAGACAGAGCTCAGGAAGCGTCAGTTCTTCAGATCTCTCTGTCCCGACCCCGCATGGTTGAACAAGCCCCTTTCTCCTACTTTCCCGGTCACTTTTCCTCCTGAGTTACTTGTGTGTATATAAGAGTCTGACAGGTCCCACATTTTCCTCCTTTGTCTGGCATGTGATTGGTGCTTAAACATTTAACAGATAAAGTGGGGGGAGCAGCCTTGGATGTGGGGAGGAGGCGATGGCCTTTTCTCTTGTTTCCCCCACTGTGCCCTTCTCCTTCTTTCTGACCACCCGTGGTGCTCGTGGCAGGCATGGCCCCCCTTCTGTGTATCATTCTTGCATTACTGAGGCAGGCTGAGTCAGAGCTCTCATTCGGAAGGGCAGGGGCCAAGTCTCTGATTTTTTGGCAGCACCCCCCCCCACCCCAGGCCTCGCAGACACCGGTCCCATCCTGGTGTTCTGCACCCCACGTGGTTGACGGCGAGTCCCATGAACTCTCCCCTCCTGACACTGCCTCTTCTCTCCTCCAGGGCCAGGAGCTGACCATTCGCCAGATCTCCCTGCTGGGCTTCCGAGACCTGGTCCTGCTCAAGGTGAAGCTGGGCGACCTGCTGCTGCTGGCCCAGTCCCAGCTGCCCTCGTCCATTGTCCAGATGCTGCTCATCCTGCAGGTGAGGCCCTGGAGAAGACGCGCCCCCAAGGCTCAGAGAAGAAAAGAAGGGACTAGGGGAAGGAACCAAGTGACCAGAGCACCTTAGCTTCGCGTAGTGTCCTTTAGTCACTATGCTCCTTTGTCACTGAGCATCTTCAAGGTCACTGAGCATCTTCAAGGTCCCTGGCACTGTGCTGGGACCCCAGTGGGGAGGGAGCAGCAATGCCCTGTCACTCACACAGTGGACACCCTTCTCTCCTCTCTGTCAGGGAGTCACAAGTTAGGAAAAACAACAAGAACCTCCTGTAGCCTAGCTCCAGCCAGACCAGGGCTCCCTGGAAGCTTCCTGGGGCAGATGGGCCTCCCAAAGGACTGCAGCCAGAGGGAGACCATGGTCAGGCCACAGAGCCAGTCTTTCTCCACCTACCAGTCTCCACTTCTGTCTGGTCCACCTTGGTTCTCTCTGATGTTGCCTCTTCCGGCCTTGCCTGGCCTGTTTTGGACTCGGCCTTTCTCTCTGCAGAATTGCATTCCGTGCTTTGGTCCGCACCTGATGAAATGCGACGTCTCATAGCTCCTGTGTTTTCACCAAGAGACAACCCCAGACGGTTGTCTGGCATCTCTTTGTCCCAGTTCTAAATCAGCAATAGGAAGATGAGCTCACATTTGCCGCTTCCTGGCAGGCACAGGCCAAAGACTTTGTTAAGTGTGTTGCTTTCCAGATCAAATAATCCAAATGACCACATGGTGAGGCGAGCACGGTTGTGGCTCCCATTTTACAGGTGAGGAGAGTGAAACTCGGGGAGTTCACGTACTTGTCCGAGGTCCCTTGGTAAGGTGGTAAGATTCAGAGCCATGGACATTCAGGGAAAAACGTTGATTGCTCCAGCTTGGGCTGCGGAACTCCCCTCCGCACAGTCAGCTGTGACCTTGAGTGGGATTGAGGAGTACAAACATGACCTCAGCGATCCCAGTCCTGTGCAGGGACTGGGTGGGGGTGCATACTTCTCAAGAAACCGGGCTTGCGGGCCAGGGACACCCTTCAGAGGAGGTGACTAACCATCCTTCACCTCTGTACCTATTTCAGATCCTGCGGTATCAGCTCTGAGCCCGTCCGTGGGAAACAGTTCCATCCTCGTCAGGCGGCCTGTGACCCCAGGCGGTCCTCTCAGCGGGGGTGGGACATCAGCCTTGGGGCCCTGGGATCTCCCTTCCCCGCTGGCCGTTCTCTTCCTGTTCTCTAGCTGGATCGTGCCCCTGGGCATTCTCCCCCTTTCCTGAAATCAGAGCCGAGGAAGAGTTGCCTCATGGGACGAGAGTGGGCGTAACTGGCTGCAATGCCAGGCGCAGTATTGTTGTGTCCGGGAAGGAGAAGGAAAGGGGTGGACAAGTGTGTGTGCAGCTTGTGTCTGAGGAGCAGAAAACAGAGCTGGATCCCAAATAAGGAACCTAGAAAATGGGCTCCTGGGGATCCGGGTAGGAAGACTGGGAGAGTTGGGTTTCCACCCTCTCATTCCCGTGTGTAATGTTTTAGGGATGAGAGGTGATCCCTCTTTTGTAGTTTTGTTTTTTGGGGGGGCAGGAGAGTTGAGGGGAGGGCTCTCACCCGTGACCAGTAGACCCAGAGGGCCTTACTAAATGCCGGCATTGCTGGCAACCCAGCACCCGGATGAGGAAGCTGTCATCGTCCCCCATGGAGTCCCTAAAAATGGTTAGTCCGCTGTCCCAGGGGAATCTTCCTTCCTCCACCTTGGCCCCCCACCCCACTTTGTTCCCCACAGGGCAGCTTCAACTCTTCAGCGGTTCAGGGCGATCTTAGGAAAACAGCCCAAGTCTGTACCCTGGCCTCCGGCCCCTCCCCAGCCTCACTGGAACCTGACTTCCCAGCTGTTCAGCTCTCCGGCCACACTGGCCTTCTTGGCCTTTCCCTGCTGTGCAGGGACCTTTGTGCCCCAGTTCCCTCCACCCAGAGCACTGGGTTTCCAGTGGCCTACCAGCCCCCTCCGGTCAAGGCGGATCTGTATGTCTTCTGCCTTCAGCACCAGGCACAGTCTCTGGCACATAGTAGGTGTTCATTAAACATCAGTTCAGTGAATGAGGGCACCGGGTAGTAAGAGCTGGAGTAGAAATGAACCCAGTCTCCTCTTGGTGGTGACCCTCACACAGGGATTTCCGCCTTGGTGGGGGAAGTATATTGGAGAAACTCTGGTTGTGACAAATTTCTGGGAAGTCAGGCAAGGAAATAGTCCCCATTTTCCCTTTTCACAGAAGAGGGGAGGTTCAGAGAAGTGGCCAAGTAGTCCACGGTCACATCTTAATTTTTAAGAGATGAATGTGTCACTCATTCCTCAGCTCTTGCTTTTTCTACCTTCCCACTCAGCCACCCCCGCCTCCCCCACCCCCTGCCGTCTCCCAGGTACTTGGAAATGCCCATGAGCTTTTAAGATGGTCCCTCTCTAACATGAAGCTTTGGCTTCGTTTCCCAGGGGCCCTCCTGGGACTAGTTCTACAGGCCCGTGCCCTTCCTCACTCGGACCTACAGAGCCTGGGGCTAGGAGTGTGACAGGGACACACGCAGGTCTTTCCCCAGTCGAGGTCCATCTTCCTGAGCAGGAAGGGCAGCAGCTTCTGGTCTGAGTGGACCTTGCATGTTGTACTGCCCTGGGACCATTCCTGCTGCAGGCAACTTGGGCCCCCTCCTCCCCAGCCCCCCACCCTCCACAGCGCCATGAGGTCTGGGCCAATTTTCCCTGCCTGACTCGGCTTACAGGGCAAAGAGCCATTTCTCAGGCCTTGCTCCCTCCCTTTTCCAGTGTGCTTCCAAAATGTCCCTGATCAAACCCCCTCCCTTTCCAAAACACACAAGGGGCTCAAAGTTTTCTGCTCTGTGTGGCATGGCCCCATCCTCAGGCTGTCCCAGAAAGGGGCTGAACTGGAGACTTTGACCAGTGTGGACTCTGGTTCCTCCTGGCAGGTGGAGGCCGGTCCTAAGATCACCCTGAGGTACCCTGTGCCTTTAAAGCTGCTCCCCTTGCCCCCCCACCACCCCAACCATCCTGGAGCCAACAAGGGGCCAAGTCAGCCTGCTTCTTTGGGAGCATCCACCTCACCTGGTGGTCCCCAGCCTGCAGGATTGGCCCCTCTGCTTTTAATACCCGACCATCTCCCCCTGCAACCCCTGAAAACCCCAGTGCAGGGGCGGGTTCTTGCTTTAAAGGGAGGGTGATCGAAAAACCCGTTCCACTTTGAGAATCTGACGGGCAGCTTGCTGGGCCGGGGACAACCCCCCGGATCCCTGTCTCTGCTCCCCTGCAGGCCCTCCACGTGAGAGCGTGGCCTGGAGTCCTTCCCCGTGGTCAGTGGCGTCCCCTAGGAGTCTGCTGGCTTTTAAGGGAACCATGGTTACTTCCTGGCTCCTCTCCGGGTTTGACTGCTGTGCCCATTGTTTTGGCTGCTGTTTGCTCTGGCTTTGGCTCGGAGGCCTCTGGTCGTGCTGGGCTTCTGAACTGACTTCATCTCGGTGCTAAACCTACATCTTGTTCCACAATGACCCCCCCTTTCTTCTACTGTTCTGGACTTTTTCGTGTTCTGTCCCCCTTTCTTTTCTAGCCTGTTAACAAGAGTCAGTGAGATGTGGGTGGAGCCAGACAGCCTGCGTCCCAGTCCCGGGTTTTTGCTGGTTACCAGCTGTGTTTTCTTGGGCAACTTGCTTAAACCCTCTGGGCCTGAAAATCCTTGTGTGTGGAATGGAGAGGAGGAGAGTGTCACTGTCCTCGGGTTGTTGGGAGGCCTCTGTGCTTGGACACATGTCACGTGCCTGCCTGCTGAGTGTGGGGCAGTTACTATGACAGCGAGGCTGGGGTACCATGGTTGGGACCATGCCCCAACCCTGGAGCCAGGGCGGGGACTGCCCCGACCCCACTGCATTGGTGAGACCTGTGCGAGAGACACCACGGCACCCACCATACACAGTTCCGATCACAGTGACCCATGACAAGTGCCTTGGGCCTCAGGCCTGGGTTTCCTGCATTGTGGTCACAAGGACGCTGCCTGCTGGTACCACCGCCTTGAACGTGGCAGGAGGGCCAGCCGGCCGTGGCGACTTTGACTGACATTTGCCTCTCTTGGATGTTTGTCTCCAGAGTGTTCATGAGCCCACAGGCCCAAGTGAGGGGTACTTGCAGCTGGAGGAGCTGGTGAAGCAAGTGGTTTCTCCTTTCCTGGGCATCAGCGAGGACCGCAGCGTCTCGGGCCCCACGTACACGCTGGGTAAGGGGCACAGCTCTCGAGTTGCCTGGAGCCTTGATGATCACACCATCACTGGCTACATTTTACTGGGCCCCGATCATGTGCCAAGATGTTTGCTTCAGGGGCAGGCCTGTGCAGATGTGTGCGTGTTGACCCCTCCTGCTTTTCTGCCGGCCCCTGTCTTGGTACCCTCCTCCCCTCACCGTGATCCCTCCCCCGGGACTCAGACTGTGCCTCGGTGGCAGTGCTTGTCTGGTCTGCATCTCTGCTCAGTAGCTTTGATCTTTTTCTTGTGCCTGCCACGTTCATTTTTCCTGAATCTGATACCAGAAACTGGGCGTTACGGCACCACTCCCACTTGAGTGAAAACATCGCCTGTGGCCGTTTGCCTTTGAAAGCAGCTAGAAATGGGAAGCCGGCTCCGGCCCACGTGGCCGGAGGAGATGATGCAGCTGCTGTTCCCCACTCCATTTCTGGAGGTGCTGCCCAGGCCTTCACTCCAAGGAAGGAAGGGGGCTTCCAGATTTGGAGACCAGTCCTGCCAGGGACTGTCTTGGAGTCTAGAAAGTTAGCATTATTGAGTGTCAGGCTTGGTGCTAGCCATCCGAGGAAGCTAGAGATGAATCGGTTAGTTTTTTATCTCAGTGAAACCTCAGTCTGGATGGGAAAATATCTCTGTACTAGGGCTTATCATAAAAGACGTTTCTCAGTTACCCTCTGAAACAAAAGCTGTCCAAATGTCAGGATGTTTTCTCAGCTATTCTATCTCCAGTAACTGGCATGCTGTCTGGTATACAGTAGGCACTCAAAAATGTACATTAGATGGGTAGCATCTGTACTCCGAGGCCAGGGTGACCAGCACCCACATAGGTGCAGAGATGGAAAGAGATTCTCTGAATTTAGAACCTTTGGCCCCCTCTCCTTGCTTGAATGGAGCTGGAGCTGAACTTCAAAGCCAAAAGGAGAAGAGCAGCCCCGGCGAGGCGCCCGCCCCTTCCTGGGCCTCCCCGCTGCAGAGAAAGGCAGGGCTGACTGCAGTCTTCACAGCCCCGTCATGTTTCTCTGGAGACATCAGCTTAACCACAGCCACCGCAGATCGGAGGGTGCTGGCCCCAGCCTGCTGCCTGCCAGGTTCTCCCCTGCTCCCTCCCCCCGCCTCCCCCTCATTCCACACAGGAGCTGGAACCAGCCTGAGTAGAAGCCTGCCCTCCTGGCCGTGACCGGTTGCCATGTTGCCATGCCCTGCCTGGAGACCAGCTTCCCGCTTGGGCCCAGCCCACTGTCACCTTGCCGAGGCTCCCCGAGTGGGACAGGAGGATGCAGGCAGATGTCAGGACGCCGGCAGGGCTTGAGGGGCCACGGCAGGGATTCCATCCATTGTCGTTGGGCCTAGAGCCAGGAACAAGGGTAGATGCAGAAGTGTGTTCCGTGAGGACTCTAAGAGGGTGCCTTCAGTTTTCTAGCTAAACTGGTAATACATACTTTGTCAGATTATGAAGCAAAGGCCTGAGGTTTTATTCTTATGCCAAGGCCAATCCTTGCCTTCTAAGGTGTTGTCTGAGTAGGGGTAAGGAGAGAAGGAAATGACCCTCTTTTGATTGTTTTTTTAATTATTAATTCAGAAACCACACACTGAGGCCCTGCCCCGGGCACCTTGTAAGGTGCTGCAGGTACCTCCGTGAACAAAACTGACCCGGCCCCGCCCTCTGGGAGCTCGGTCCAGTGAGGAAAGCCACAAACAACAGACGATGACTCATCAGGGCACACGTGCTCTGCTCTGCATGGGGAAGTACAGGGCCAGGGGCCCCACAGCAGGGGGACTTTACCTGGATGGGAAATCAGGGAAGGCTCCCCGGGGGAAGTGATGGGGAAGCAATATCTCTGATGGGACCTACAAGATGCATATGAGGTAGCTGAATAAATGAGAAAGGCAGACTGTCCCGAGGCCAAGGGCAGGATCTCCCGGAGGGCACTGGGCTGGGGGTAGTGCTTGCAGCGTTTGAGGAACTGAAAGAGCCTCAGAGCTGCACAGTGGCTGGTGGCCAGGGCAGCCCTGGGCACAGGCGGCGTCCTGGGCCCTGTGCTGGGCACTGTGCCACCGAGTGGGCACCGTGGTTCCCGTTTCACAGGTGAGGGAAATGGAGATCGGGGTCACTCGGCTACTGGAGCCAGGCTTCCAGCCTCCCCCAGCTGTCTGCTTCTTCCCTCCAGCTGCACCTCACTCCCTCACCCCAGGAGGCACGCCTTCCCTCGCACCCCCAGCCCAAGAGCTATCTGAGACTGGACACCTGCCCTCAGACCTCTGGGTGTGGCGACTCTAAGACGGCCACAGCGGTGCCCTTCCTTACGGAGACGGTCCCTGCCAGACTGAGAGGCCTCTCCGGGCCTCCGTCTCCCCCTCTGTGGAATGGGGACAGTGACCTTGATCCTGCCCGAGGGAGAGCCGTGTCCAGATGACCTGCTGACCTCAAGACTGAGGAGATGCGTTGGACACGAGAAACCCTGTACCCTCAGGAGGGCTCTGCGGTCGTCCCCCGGGGCCTGGCCCGGGCTGGCAGTGGTCGGGGGGCAGCTGGTGATCACCTGAAAAGCCACCATGTAGCAAACGCCTGTCCCATTCCAGGTGCCGAGCCAGGCGCTTAGCATGTATTCCCTCCATCCTGCCAGGACCAGCAGGAGGCGGGGCAGGGGGCCGGTGCTGCGGTTACCTCCATCTCCGCCTCATTAACACACATCCCCAGGGTCACACAGCGGGACCGGAGAGGTGGTTTTTCTAAGATGCTCCTTACAAGTTTGATCCTGAGATTCATGGGAAGACTCTCTCTGCCAGCCAGGTGGGCCTGCGGGATAAACCTCGTTCCCTGGACACGCAAGGCTTGCTTCCGAGAGAAAAGACGAGTCTGAGGCCGTGTGGAGTGAGTGTGTGTGTGCGTGTCTCCCCTCCAAAGCCGTGATTTTTCCCAGGCAGTGGGGAAGAGGGGGATGATAATGATTTCTTAAATAGGCCAATTTGTCAGAACCCAGGCCCCCATCCTACCTTTCCAGAAGTTCCTGAATTTTCCAAGCTGCTGCCCCAGCTGCTGATAGGGCCCTCTGAGCAAACATCCCCAGGGTCACACAGCGGAGAGGGAGAGGTGCCAGAACCGGAGCAAACATCTGAGCAAACATTACGAGCTCCATTTCTCCTGCACAAAAGCCCTGGCCTCCCACACCGCCCCCCCAAGCCCCGCACCCCCCATTGTGTCCCCACGGGGAGGGCCCTTTGCTTCCAGATACTGTAACATCTCTTCCTGACAAGTAGGCATTCATGGGCTTTCAGGTGCAGCGGGCTGGAGAGGGTCACCCACAATGGACTTGGTGTGCAGGGCTCACAGTGCCTGCATGATGGCCGCCACTCCGGTGGGGCCTGGCCGGTGAGCCGTGGAGATCAAAGGCCTGGGAACTGAGTCTCCAACAAAGAGCCGGAGGACCGCCTCACCCAGGCTTTCTTCTCTCAGCTGGTGTGAAAGGAGCTGCCTTTGCCGGCTCCGTGCAGGGGGAAGAATGCCAGCGCTGGGTGGTGGGCGGGGACCCTGGTGCCTGAGAAAGGAAGAAAGGCTCCCCTCGCCCCATCCCGTGTGAAAGGCAGGCGGAGGCCCAGGGGTGGGTCCCTTCGCTGCTCAAAGGGCACTGTGGTAAGGGAGGGACCCTTTTTCTGAGGCCCCAGGGGATACCAACAGCTTCAACCGTCCCTTGGCGGGAGGTTTCCTTCTCTGAGTGGCAGGACTGCGTCTCCCCTGGTGTGAAGAAGTGGGGAGAAAGCAAACAGCAGCAGTGTGCGGAGCTGTCCGTCAGGCCTGGTGTCTTTGAAGGCCTCCCAAGGGCGCCCAATGGGGGCTGACGCGCTTGCCTGAGGGTTGCATCCGGGGTCTGGTGGGAATTCAGCAAGGAAGCACTACCTGCCTGCCTAGGGGACTCGGCACAGCCCTGGGGCCCCTGTGGTCTGGGCTCTGCCCACACCCAGTCTTGGGAACCAAAACATTTCAGCCAGAAAGCAGAAGGAAGGACTGTAGGCCTCTCCGGTGAGTCATCGCAGGGAAGGCAGGGAGCAGCATTAAGGAGCGAGGTGGGGCCAGCTGCAAAGGGAGCTGAGCCTTGGAAATTACGAGGGCTGCGCTTCAGCTGTGTGGCCTGGAGTAAGTTACTTAATGTCTCTGAGCTGCTAAGGGCTGAGCACCAGGAAGAAAGGAATTGCCCTGCCTTGGGGCAGGACCCAGGCAGAGCTGCTCTCTGCCATATTATGCCTCCCAGCTGGAGGTGGCCTGGCCCCTGGAGAAGCATTCCACATGAGGCCCCATGTGTTGCCTTCCCCTCCCTTTCCTGGACCCTGGGCCACGACCCGGCACCAGCCATGCTGTGTAGCCACGGCCTGATTGTCGATCTGCCCCTTACACTGTGAGCGCACTGAGGGCAGGGCGAACGTGGTTCCCCTGTAGCCCAGGCCCCAGCATAGGCCTCTCAGTGAGTGAGGCCAGTCAGGGTTCAGTCTGTCAGTCACGCTCAGAGGAGCAGGCCCATCTGAAATGATCCCTGTGTGACTCCTCTGAATCCCCACAGTGCTTCTGTGGGTGCCTCTGCCTTGACATTGGCCATGTTGACCTGTTTGAATTTGTCTGTGTATGGGCCTCCCAGGGGTCACAGGCCAGAGCCCCACTCTTGGCCCTGGACTTGAGTTCTGGTTGCATCACTAACTGTGACTGTAAAGTTATGTAGCATCTTAACCTCAGGTGACTTTTCTGCAAAATGGTCTCAAGGAGATTATGTGGGTGAAGCACATTGTAGGTGCTCAGTTAATGATTGCACTTAAGACAGCTCCCCCCCCAACACACACACACACACACACACACACACACACACTCACACACACACACACACACACACATCTGAGCACTGGGCTCAAGGCCCTTCGGCAGGCCTCATATCACATTCATGTATCTCTTTCTCCTGCAGCGAGCGTGGCGTTTTGCACTTTGTAGCTCAAGAAGTGTTTATTGTGGTGGGGGGAGTGCACAGGAGTCATGGGGACCCCCTCCTCAGGTTGCCCACCCTCACTCTGGCCCCAGCTCTCAGCAGCAGCCCCGCTGGCCTCTCTTGTCAGTTTGCGGCCTGCCAAACCCTCCAAGGACTTCGGGCTGCTGGACTGGCAGTGGCAGAGAGGTGGACAACACCCAGGTGCCCATCTGAGACAGGTTTCCTGTCTCGTTCTACCAGGCCGAGGTCCATGGGTACCATCAGGGGCATTCCCATTTGTCCTGGGGGTGCTGCTTGTGTCTGCCATGCACGCCTGTCCCCCATGCTCTCAGCTGACCCGTGCCCTGGGCCCCGCCTTCGTTCTGGTCCTTTCCTCCTCCTGCACCTGCACCTGCACGTGCGAAATGCTCAGGGTGCACCCTCACCCCATCTCCAGCCAGGCTGGCTGGGGAATTGGGGCCGCAACACCGGTTTTGCAATTGCCAATGTGAAGTGCTTGTGTTTAATAGCAGCGGGAGAGAAATGAATTGTTTTCAAGGGCGTTTTTAAAGGATGGTTCTTTAATGGGGTCTCTGCTTCTCTGAACTCTTCTGGTGCTTCTGTTTTATAGGTATTGATTTTGTGATCATAAAAGTAATACATGGTTATTGTAAAAGTGTGGGGACATTGTCGAAATGTGTGGCTTCAGAGAAAACCTCTGCCACAGTCTTGGTCGCTCCTTAGTATTTTGTAGCCTATTCTTTCTTCCTCATTGATTAAGAGGTTTTGACTCCCCACTATTTCTCCTCAATTACAGCCTTTGCTGGTTTTTCTCTTGCAGCCAGGCGCCACTCCCGGGTCCGGTCCAAGGTCACTGTCCTGAACTACGCCTCCCCAGTGGCCACCATCAGCCGGCCACTGAATGAGATGGTCCTGACCCCTCTGACGGAGCAAGAGGGGGAGGCCTACCTGGAGAAGTGTGGCAGCGCCCGGCGGCACACGGTGGCCAATGCCCACTCGGACATCCAGCTGCTGGCCATGGCCTCCATGATGCACCCAGGCCTAGGCGAGGAGCCTGGTGCCGAGGACAAGTGCCTGCTTCTGCCGCCCAGCTTTTCTGCACCCCACCGCCAGTGCTCCAGCGAGCCCAACATCACCGACAGCCCCGACCAGGTGGAAGAGGTGGCCGTGGGCAGCCAGGAGGACTCAGAGGCGAACAGTGCTTCCCTCGGCTGAGTGCCCGCCTCCAGGACGTCCCAGCTCCTGCCTAGCAACCAGGAGAAGGACGGTTCCACCCTGTGAAATCACCAGGGGGCTCCTCCTTTTGGGGGTTGCTGCCCCCCTCTTTCTGGGGACAGGCCTAGCCTAAGTGCCCCAGGGGAAACCTAGTTGTAAGTCTCTCCGTTTCCATGACTGTGACCACCTCTTCGCAGCCACACGGACCCAACTGCCTAATTCTCACTTGCTGACTTCCAGCCTTGCCTGCCTGACTCGGATCCTCCTCTCTGGGCTTCTCCCCCTCAGATGCTGGACTGTCTGATGGTCCCAATGACGCATCCCAGAGCCCTCGGCATTGCCATAGCAGGAGGTTATCTGAGGGGCACCTGAAGCCAGCAAGGGTGTGTTGGTTTTCGGAGTTCCCCTTTCGGTCTGGTGAGGCAGAGGCTGCTGGGTGAAAAGCTGCCTCTCCTCCCCTGTGTTTGTGGTGGGGAGGGAAAGCAGGGAGCAGCCCCTACTTCCCAGGGCTCTGGGAAAGTGCTTCCGTGTTCCGGTTTCAGAATTGCCGGGAAAGAACTGCCCACCGGTGGTGGGGTCCATCCTCACCCACACCCAGGTCCTGGAGGGTCAGAAGGCAGGGGAAACCTGGCTTTGTTAAGCCTCAGTCTTTCCTCCTCAGGCTTCCTCCCAAGGTCAAGGAACTAACCTCCCTGGTGGAGCAGCCGATGCCTTCGTCTCTTTTACGTTAGAAACCGACCGTTTTCTGATTGTGGATGGAGGGCCGGCCGATACCAGCCAACTAGCGTATTCCTGGATTTGACTTGAATTTTTAAAGTGTGCATCGTCTCAAAAACAATTGTTTGCAAATATTTGCACATAGGATGTTTCAATGCTCCTTTCTGATGGGGTGTTTCTTCAAGCTGAGAAATAAGCAAGCCCTCCAGGGAAAGGGGACCAGATGGATCCGGGGGTGAAGGTGGTCCATGGTGGGCAGAGGCCGCAGAACTCTAGCAGCTGGATTCAAATCCAGAATGTCCTGTGTATGTGAGTGTTGTGGTTTGTAGGGAGACAGCTTGCCTCATGGGCAGAGAGTTGCGGCAGATAGAATGGCTCAGTGCTTTCCAGTGGGGGGAGGGCGGAGAAGATGTGCATTCCCTGTGATTAAAGAAGAACCTGGATGAGTTCTGACATGGGAGGTCTCCAGACGCAGCTGGGGCAGCCGGCTTTGGTGCCGTGCTGCCTCCGCACCCTGCTCCCCCAGGTCTGGGCTCGCTGTCCTTCTCGGGCCTCTGTTCTCTTTGAATTCACCTGTCGGCCCCCCTCATGACAGCTCCAGAAGAAAGGAAGCTTCCCCGGACCCTTCTGGCACCCTCTAGGTACCCTGTTAGGCTTGGAAGCTCTGTGAATAAAATCCAGAGACATGAGTCAGCTTGGCTTCCACTGGGGGGCGGGGGGAAGGTGGCTACAAGGGCAGAGGACAGTCATGGCGGCTCACCGAGGCCTTTACCTCTCCCGTCTGGGAGGAGATCTGAAACGGCACCAGAGTTGTGCTTTTGATGGCTTGTGGTTGGGATAGCGTGTCTAACGAGTTGTTTCACGTTAATCCTTCTACGAGAGTGATGGAAGGGAGATGTTCAGAGAATTTCAAACAACTACAAAAAATCTTGGCGTATGTGTTAGATAAAGTCCACGGATTGACTAATACTCATTAGCAAATGGAACATCAGTAGGTAACAACCTGACAATTTATTTAACTGATGGCTTCTGTCCTATGGTACACTAGGCACAGGGGACTGGTATTTATTAATCCAGGCAAAGTAATTAATGATGCTTGGGTTTCGGGGTTTTTTATAGTTTACAACATTAGCAATACACATGCTTTTAAATGCCTTTCCCATACAGCAAATGACCCTGATGAGGACGGCAGTCACTTAGTCAGATGTGTGAGCTCTTAGGTTTAGACGGGGAATGCCGGGCTAGACCCAGCACACTTAATTTTGCCGGTGACTGTTAGCTGGTTCACAGCTTCACCTGGATGTACATGCCTGAGGTTTGCACAGTAAACATTTCAGACTGTATGTACAAAGATTTTGTTCATGTTCACGGGCATTTTACCACTCTCAAATCTCGTGCAAGAGGGACAGTTGTGTTTTAACCACTGATTCTCCCTTCTATGAGATGAAGATTCAGTTTCGGTGTTTAAACTAGGATGTCCCTGTGGCTGAGGTTCAATGACAGGAAGCCATCACGACTCAACTCTGAGTGAGCTCACAAACCAAAACCCTTTCACGGTGTCTGTTACCAGCACAGATTCAATAAACATCATTTTGTACGCGTTACCTACCCCGTGCCCACGTGTGGTGCCTTGATGGACTTTGCAAGCGCAGCGGCCCATTGCGCATCCGGTCCTCACACTCCCTGTACCCCCTTTTCCTGCTTCCACGTCCCTCCCCTGCTGCCTCTCCTCCCCAGGATTAGGCAGCAGCCTCACCCCAGCCAGTCTCCCTGGGTTTTGTTTGCATCCTTGTTTGGATTAGCAAGTCATTTCCCGGAGAAAGTGCCTGTCTGCGGTGCTCGGAAAACACAGAACAAAGTCTGAGAAGGCAACACCTCTTCTCACACGGGCTCGGTCTCTTCCCGGACTGTCTGAGCTAGAGGTGACACTTAACCGTATCGACTGTCTCGGATTCCCCTGCGGTTCTGTTGGGCGGAAAGAATGTATACTTCACTCTTGGCATAAGCTGTCCTAGGGTGGCTGCGGCAGCCAAGCCTGAGAACTCTGGAGGTTTGGCACGAGCATCTCAAGAGGCGTGACCTGAACTGATTGAAGGTCCTGGAGGACGTGAAGGGGAGTGTGTACACTTTTGTTGAGTCTTCAGCAGCTGTGACTACGGCGAGTGGCCACTGAGCCATCTGCCTCAGTAGATTTCATGTCATTGGTGCGCCCCTGTCTTCACTTCACTCACCCATCCCCTCGTCTACCAGCATCATGGGTTTGCGGAGCTGCCTCTCTGTGTAGGCACTTTCTTGGGCTGGGGCTGCAGGGAATGGACATAACCAAGGTGCCAAGCTTACCATCTAATGAGGGCTAGCAGTCAAGCCAACACAGGAATTTCAGGTAACGGACAACACCAGATGAAATAACGTGGCGAAACGCAGTGACTAGAGGGTCACCTCAGGTGGGATGTCTAGGAAAGGTCTCTCTGACATTAAGCTGACACCTGAGGGATATGGAGCCAGCCTTAGAGTCTGTTTTCATTTTCTGTTACTGCCATAACAAATTAGTAGCTTACAACAGCATATTTATTACGATACAGTGCTGTGGGCTGCAAGTCTGACCTGGGGCTCACTGGGCTGAGATCGGGGTGTGGGCACGGCTGTGCTCCCTTCCGGGGGCTCTAAAGGAGAATCTATCCCTCACCTTTGCCAGCCTCCAGAGGCTTCTGTGCTCCCTGGCTCCCGGCCCCCCTCCTCCACCTGTAAAGCCAGCAACAGCGGACCGAATCCCTCTTGCATCCATCACACCAACCTACGTTCTGTTCTACCTCCCTCTTCCACTTCTGAGGAGCCTTGTGTTTCCATCGGGCCCATCCGGGTAATTCAGGATGATCTTCACCTCGATTTCTGTGGGCACTGCCTGTGCTGTGCCCTGTGCTGACGTTGCTCCTGGTAGTAGAAAGGTCAGGACCCCCGGGGGGATGAGGCTACATTGGGTGGGGGGGGTTGGGCTGGTCTCAGAGCCCAGGACAGACTGGCTGGCCTGGCCCAGAGGCCCTGGAGCCTGGCCTCCACCTACCAGGGCCTGGATTCCCACAATGACCGTGACCCTTGAGTCCCTTGCTCAGATCTCTCTTATTCATCATCTCATATGCCTATCAGGCCCTCATCTCCTCATTTGGACCCCTCCGACTTGGTACCAACTTTCCTGCAGACTTCATCTCTCCTATGGACATCACCGGCTGATTTTTTTTTTTCTAAAATGCAGCCCCTGCTTAAGACTTCTCTCTGGCTTCCAATCAAATCTATACACCTGAGCTTAACTTCAAGGTTCTTTCTGAGCTGACGCCCACCTGCCTTTCTAGTCTCCTTGGCTACCCTGACTGCTCACTGTCCTGGAAAACTGCCTTCCGCCTTCACTCCCTCCCTTCTCTGGGTACAAAGAGCCCCTTCTATCTCTATACATTCTCAGGCCCTGTCCCAGGAAGGCAAGGATATGTAGGATTTCTGTTTGCAGGACCTGGCCTAGCAAAACAGTTCGAAGTTGTGTGTTGAATGAATTAGTGGGAAAGTGATAACTCTGACCTTCACACCTTCCCTCCCAGCTATTTACAGAGAGGACCTTCACCCCCTTTCCTTTCTCCTCAGGCAGGGACCTTCCCCCTGCTGCTCTCTGAGCATAGTCCAGCTGAGGCTGTGCGGACAGTTGACCCTGTGGGCACAGGTGAGGCCAGGTCTCAGCCCTTCCTGCTCCAGCCAGTGGCTGCCATGTCCCTGCAGAGAGCCAACCCAGGGTCCACAGGGCTGCAGCTTTGCTCCTGGGCCTGTCCCCTTTCTGCCTAAGAAATTCCTCTGGAGCCTGGAACATGTGCCTGAGGGAGGGAGGGAGCCAGGGCCTCTGTTGTCTGCAGCAGGGCCATCTCTTTGAAGAAACCCTCCTACCAAGAAGTACTAGAAAGCCCTGGCTGGCTAGCTCCGTTGGTTCGAGTATTGCCCAGATATGCCAAGTTTGGGGGTTTGATCCTTGTCAGGACATGCATAAGAAGCAACTAATGCATGCATAAATAAGTGGAACAACCAGGTAATGCCTCCCTTCTTTCTCTCTGTCAATAAGTTAAAAAAGAGGAAGCGTCCGAGGCCAGTGTGCCCCAAATTCTCCCCTTCACTCAGGATCCAGCACAGATGCTGCCCTGGTGTACCAAGGGCATATTCTGTTGCCCTGGTGTAGCAAGCAATACAGGTATGATCCTCACGACTGCATGAGGCAGGTATCACCCCCATTTCACAGGTTGGGGAACTGAGGCATGGGTTCTTCAGGTGATGGAACCGGGACTCCACCCCATGTTCTTCCACCCACATCCGGTGGTCCTCCTCTCTATTCTGTGAGGTATCCTGGCTTGATAGAGAATGTGGAAGCAGGACAAATCAGGCCAGAGCGCTAAGGTAAACTGGGGTAGGAGAGGAACCAGGCTGCCTCTCTGTTTTTCCCCAGCCACTTCTAGAAAATCTCACGGTGCGGGGAGCGGGGCCGGGGCACTCTGGTTGGTGTCCTAGATGGCAGGTTTCTTATGTGCAAAAGATTTCAGTGGTTTGTTTCCTTTTGAAATGACTAAGTTGAAGTTTGGCTTTTAAACATTATATTTTAATATGTTAAATAATCACTTAGCAGATAATACAATTAGTAATCTTTAGAATTAATATTCGACTTCAGACAAAGTTAAAAAACTTTAGGTTTTTAAGCTTGGCTTATGAATGTTATTATAAGTCTAGCTGATTTTTGCAATAACATTGGTGGAGGTTTTGACTAGTGCCTGGGCCTATTTACTAGCTCGGCTCAGTACTTCAAAACACTTTTAAATTGAAAATATTTATTTCTTTTTTAAGTACTTCAGTTTTTCTGACAACATGCAAAATCTTCCCAAATCCTAAATTCTTATAGGAAGTAATAAATTCAACTCACAAATAAGGCAAACTTTAAACATCCTTATCCTCTGCTGAAACTTAGATGTCGCCATAAACAAAACCACAAGTCTGAACTAGTTACTGAACTACACGTTTGGAAGTGGAGCTCACGACAGTCCCCGGAATGGGCCTTGTTGCCTGAAGTGTCACAAGTCTCTAAAACACCAACCACGCACAGATTCCTTTCTCACTGAAAAAATTCCAGTTCTGTAGTTTTGTTCCTCTTACATCTTTCTCTATTGAAGCCTAGTCTTCCTGGCGTGTGGACAGTTAAGCTACTGTCTCTCAGCTTCAGCCTTTTCCCGTATTTTGGGATGCAAGGATGCGAGGCTGCCCACTGCATTCCTGCTTTGTTAGCTGCTCCCTGTTAGCTCTGCCAGTGGGGGGCGCTAGAGGGAGGCTGGTGGAGTGAGAGGACGCCTCTGTCAGCATTGCCTGGCAGGGATGAGCGGCTCCAGTAGCAAAAGGTAGTTCTGTCTGCAGCTTTTCACAGTCCCAGAAACAGCTTCAACATCTCCCCGAGGCTGGCCCGGCCCCTCCGCAGAAGCCTGAGTTCCCGCTCTCAGGGCCGCTCCTCCACCCCATGAACTTCATTCACCGCCAGCTCTCCCTCTCGTTTCCCCACATCTCAGGGTGACAATTGCTCCCTGTAGTTACTGCTTCCAGGATTCCTCTGTGTTCCCGCTTTGCCAATTTATTTGTCCAAAACCTGATTCCTAATACCAATAACACTCTGTTAAAATGACGGATGAGGCTTTTGACCCCTGAATAGACTCTGACCGATGAGCAGGGGGTGAAAAATGCACACTCGCTAAAGAAGACAATAACCATCCTGGTGAAACTGAGGTTGCTCCTGACCAGACATTTCCTTTGGATGTGAGACCCAGAGCTGCAGACATTCAGGGTGATTCTTCTCACCCCCGCCCATCTAAAGAAACTAGTATTTCAAGTAATTCTGGTAATTCATGAGATTCCTGGGGAAGTGAACTCAGTTCTTGTCCCCAACAGCGCCTGGATGGCATTTATGATGGCCGAGTCGGTGACTTCATAGCCTAAAAAAGTGCTCTTGCAGGCAGGTGCCTGGTTCTTCATTCTACCCTCAAGAGCACACCCTCCTCACCAAGTCACTCATTAAATCGGTTCTTGATTTCCTTGGTCTTTGCCCTACATTTGATGACCTTTGAGAAGAATCCTAAGCAATGTAAGTATCTTGAATCTTAATAGGCTCCAGAATTCTTTCATAGTCTCAGGACCAATAACTTTTAGGAAACACCTAACCTTCTGTTTTATATCAGTGAAATGTCTCAGATAGTTTCATCTGGGATCCATCTTATGAGGTCATCCCATTTTTTTTGTGGACTGATCTAGGATCAAGTCAATTGCCTGTCAACAAAAAACTTTTGCTGCCCATTCTAAGGTAGTTTGAAGACAGGCTCAGTGAATGGAAATAGCATAAGGCTTCTGGTTCTGACCACAGGGGAATGGTTTGTCTCAGATTAATCTTCCTGCCAAAATACTTACAAAAGTTGGACAAAATATATAAGGTAATTGTTTGAAGGAATTGCAGAGCATCCAGTGCAGGCAGGATTTGAGAGGCTATGATCCCTACGAGAAGGGAAATGTATTTGGCACTCTTCAAGTTCATCCTGGTTTTTCCTGAGGGC